TGACTTTTTTTTTTTCTTTTTTTATTCTGGGATTTATTCACCTTCTATAGCTATCACTGGAGCTGAGAGCCTGCTCCAGCTCTGAGGCCCCAGCTGGCTGAAAGCAGGTATCCCCAGATTTGTTACTTGGCCTTTGAACAAGTACTGATGAATGCCCCCAATTAGCTTCTATAATTGAAACATTGTTGCTTCTGGAGCTCAGAGCTGGGCCGCGGCAGGCGGTGAACCTTGGCTTCCTCCATCACTGGAGCAAGCAAGCCTCATGTTCGCTTCAGCTGCGTGGCTGCCGGCCACCATCTTTGTTGGCAGTTAATTTGCATATCCTGCTGATTAGCCAATGGAAAGCGTAGCGGAGGTATGGTTAATTACCATGTTTGTCTATTATTAGATAGGATAGATTTATGATGTTGGACCAACCTTGAACCTCGGTTTCCTAATCTGTAACATTTGGATACCACCATCTATATCACAGAGCCAGGGTAGGAATTAAATGAGCTAATAACATATGTAAAGTATACAGTACTGAATAAGCACTGAAAAAAACAGAAAGTGCTAAAGTCATCCAATCCAAATTCCTTGTTTTACACAGGACTTAAGGTCCTAAAGCTACTATGAGGGAATGTCTCTCTTTCATCTCCAGCATACTCTGCAACCCTGCAGAAAGCAACTCCTGAGCCATAAAGGGTAGTGTGGGAGGACTACCAGCTGCTACTAAAAATCTTCCCCGTTTTTATGTCAGAAATTCATGCCTTTCACTACCAATTCTGGCCTAGGTATGCCTAGTCTTCCAAAAGCCTACCCTTTGACTCTGCTTTTGATGTATCAGATTAAACCAAGCATTTATGTTGATATTTTGTGAAGATCTTTGACATAGTTTTTATTAGTTCTTGGCAGTTCTCAAAAAATAAACATCACACACACTACCCCTATTTCTCATCAATAGTCACCTTAGTAGAATTCAAGTTGCTAGGGGGAAGAGAACTCAAATTATCCTAGAATTCCCATTTGGCAGTCTGATCTATTTGCTTACTATAGCTTTCCCTTCTCTAGCCTGGACAAAAAGCCTCCTGGGATCTCTGGGATTCCAACTTACAGTCTTCCCTGGTCCTGGATCTCGGCAGCCCTTCATACCAGTTAAGTACACTGTCTTGCCCTAAAAAAAAAACAGATCACTCTCTGAGACAAAACCAGTGTCTCTGGTTACATGATTCAAGCTTTAATGCTCTTAAAGAAGGCAGGGTGGGAAATGATGCTCTTGGTCAGAAATTTGATTTTGAATCATAGCTACCTATACTTACTAGCTGTATGATCTTGGCCAAAGTAATTAACCATCTCTGAGCTCACTTCTTCATGTGTAGAGAGGAAAAAATAACCAACTAACAAAAGTGTTGAGACTTAGGTAAGTAAAAGCACTGGGCATTAATACCTGGTATGTTATAGGTGCTCAATTAATATCTAATTATATATTTGACTATAGCACTTATCACATATTATAATTACTTTTTACCATCTCTCTTGTACCAGAGAAGGGCTTTCTGAAGGCAATGACTGTCTTATTTATATACACGTACATCCCCAGTGCTCAGAACAGATATATAAATCAAACCTAGCCTTAACCACAGTGTCAATGAAATAACAGGGAGTGGGGAGTGATGAGGAACTCAGAAAACTGCAGAGTGCATGTCCCATTTAAAGGGGCAACTACTACTCAGCTCCAACTGACAAGGGCCATGGAACAATGCTGGTCCACTGCAGTAAGAGTTTCAGACAGAATAAAAGAAGCAAAAGCCAGATCCTGGACACAACAAGTAGATGCTAAAACAGCTCTTGAGCTGACATCCTGAGGAATGACTGAAAGACCAAAGTTATGGCAGAAGTTGGTCTCAACCACCATGCTAATTCCTGCTAAAACCAGGGTCTTGCTCAGTACTCCTGATCTTGGAGATTATACTGTTAACAAAGCAGAAGCAAAAATAGCAGCAAAGAAACTAGGCTCTTCAGTGGCCTGAACATTTTATTGATGGTATCCTTGACTAACCCCTTGAGACTTAATAAGTAAACCTGGGGGTCCCAGGAAATATCAGAGAAGAGAACCTCTAGAGAAAATGAAGTTTTCAACCCTGGCTGGTTTTGCTCAGTGGCTAGAGCATCGGCCTGCGGACCAAAGGGTCCTGGGTTCGATTCCAGTCAAGGGCACATGCCCAGGGTTGCGGGCTCAATCCCCAGGCGGGGTTGTGCTGGAGGCTGCTGCTCAGGCTGCTCTCTCATCATTGATGTTTCTTTCTCTCTCCCTCTCCCTTCCTCTCTGAAATCAATAAAAATATATTTTTAAAAAATGAACTTTTCATATATTGGGATGGGGACACAAAGCCATATCATTTGAATATTAAATATGTGTATGCATTATTATGTGCTAACTAGTGGCCTGGTGCACAAAATTCATGCGGGGCGGGGGGGATGAGGGGGGAATCCTTCAGCCCGGCCTGCACCCTCCCCAATCTGGGACATCCTTTTTGCAATCTGGGACTGCTGGCTCCTAACCACTCACCTGACCACCTGCCTGCTCGCTCCCAACTGCCCTCCCCTCCTGGCCCGATAGCCCCTAACCGCCTCTGCCTCGGCCCCGCCACCATGGCTTTGTCGGGAAAGGTCTCCCGGAAGGTTTCCCAGTCTAATTAGCATAATACCCTTTTATTAGTATAGAAGATGTGGAAGGACATCCGGAAGGTCTCCGGTCTAACTAGCATATTACCCTTTTATTAGTATAGATTAGATAGATGTATATAGCTGTTTGTTTTGCACTGATGTTGTTATAGGTTAGGAGGATGAGTTATTTTTTTTTATAAACACCTTCAATCCAAACACCCAGAATCAAGCATTGTTAGTATTTTAGGTTATGTACTTTTAGAGATTTTTTTCTCGTATGCAAATAAGATATGAGGCAGTCTCCTGCAATATTGGAAAATACTATACAAATCATTTTGTAACCTTTTTTCACTTAAAAAATTAATGGAAATAACTTGCCATATCAAATATATATCTTCATCATTTATTATAATTAAAATGTATTCCACTGAAGGATGTGTCATAATTTTTAACCAGTTCCATATTAATAATTGCAATTTTTTCCATTTTAAAATATTGTCAATAGCATCACAGAGAACATCCATTAAACCCATTACTTGTACCACTACCCTCATTCTCTCTTTCAGAACCATTACTACCTAGGTTCAAATTTTTTAAAAATTATAGGCAAGCCAAAGAAAATTGAGGACTGTCAGATTGGAACTTCTAACCCATATTTTTCACCTTGCTTGGTCCTAAACAACTATTAGCTATTTCCCCAATCAAATCTACCTTCAAGGTTTAAAAAAAAGTGTCAACACATTTTCATACGAATCAGACAAAAGTCTGAAGACAATCCTCAAACATTTTGAAAAATGACATCATTAGAATAAGAACCCAACCTAATGATGGTGCTCAGTAAATGGTTGCTCTATAAATGAATGAATAAACTAATAAATGAGACCTTAAGTGGATTATAAATTATGAATTATTTGCTTTTAGAAAAATAAATTATAGTCTCCAAAGCATAAATTAAGACCAGTGGATGGAAAATTATTCTAGAGGGACCTATTTCAGCCCTCAAAAACTATCCAAATATGGCACAAGCTGCCTCAGAAGCTATGGATAGGTTGTTAGCATAGGCTGTTGGAACACTTGACAGAAATATGTAAAGACAAGATGAAAAAGAGCAGCCATGTGGAGAAGCAAGTAAAAAATAAGCCCCGTCTTTGCAACTAGACAGATCTGGATTCTATCCTTCCTCACCTCCTTTTAGCTGAGTAACCTTGGGCTAGTTACTTAACCTCACAAAGGCCAATTTCCTAAACCGTAAAACATCTTGCAAGGTTGTGAGGATTAGGATACTTTCATTCTTTCAATAAATACTTATATGTGCAGGCATTGTGCTAAGATCTATGGATCCTAAACAAGACGTAACACCTGTTCTCAAAGAGATTAAAGTCTATTATAACTGGAAAACTAAAATAGACAATTCTAGTGCCACTTGTTAAGAGTTACAATAGGGTCAAATGCATAGTCCATATAGGGCCTAATTCAGGACCTAACTCAATTTCAGGATGGTCAGAGAAGGCTTCTTGGGAGATTTAAAATCTAAGAATAAGAGCCTACTGAGATAAAAAACCATTAAGACTCATGGTTAATAAAAGCATCCTATATAATAAAGAGGTAATATGCAAATTAACCCTCACAAGATGGCTGCCTAAGACCAGGCCAGCAGGGAAGTTAGTGAGGGATGACCAAATGACTGAACAAGCAGGCTGCAAGGGGCGACCAGGCTGGCAGAGGGGCTAGTGAGGGACGACCAAACGACTGAACAGCAGGCTTCATGGGGCAACCAGGCTGGTGGGTGGACTGTGAAGGGCGACTAGGTCAGCGGGAGGCGGGGACGACAGTTAGGGGCAACCAGGCCGGCACACAGAGGCAGTGAGGGGCAATCAGGCCAGCAGGGGGGTGCAGTTAGGAGCGACCAGGCAGGCAGGCAGGCGAGTGATTAGAAGCCAGCGGTCCAGAATTGTGAGAGGGATGTCCCAGATTGGAGAGGGTGCAGGCTGGGCTGAGGGGACCTCTCCTGCTCCCCCCCGTGCACAAGTTTCATATACCGGGCCTCTAGTATAGAATAACAACACTTTGTCTGATAAACAGCAAGTGCTCCTAAAAATTGGCAGCTGCTACTATTATTATTGTTACAGAGGCCCGGTGCATGAAATTCATGCACGGGGGTTGGGGGGGGGGAGAGGGAAAGGAGGAAGGGGTATGTTGTCCTTCAGCCCAGCCTGTGCACTCTCTCTGTCCGGGAGCTCTTGGGGGATGTCCGACTGCCGCAGAAGCAGGAGAGGCTTCCACCACCGCTACTGCACTTTTCAGCCTTGAGCCCAGCTTCTGGCTGAGCAGCGCTCCCCCTGTGGGAGCACACTGACCACCATAGGGCAGATCCTGCGTTGAGCGTCTGCCCCCTGGTGGTCAGGGTGTGTCATAGCGACCAGTCGTTCCACCATTAGGTCGATTTGCATATTAGCCTTTTATTATATAGGATAGGATTGGCAATTGGATTAGATAACCTTTGAAATTACATTCATCCCTAAGTCTGTGTTACTTTAAACATTTTTTTTTTTTTCCAGAGAGGAAGGGAGAGGGGAGAGACAGACAGAAACATCAATGATGAGAGAGAATCATTGACCAGCTGCCTCCTACATGCCCCCTACTGGGGATTGAGCCTGCAACCCGGACATGTGCCCTTGACCAACCAGGGACCCTTCAGTCCTCAGACCGACATTATCCACTGAGCCACACCAGCTAGGGCAGTCTGTGTTACCTTAGAGATATATCTGATATGTTCACAGAAAAGTCCTTTCCCACTATTGGTCAAGCTATCCTACAAAAAAGAATTCTTTTTTTTAATTCACAAACTCACTACACCAGAACTGCTCAACTGGACTCCACTACACACACCAGTCATAACATGAAATGCTTATTAGGTGTTCTCACAAACAGGATTCTATGGCCAAATAAGTTTGAGAAATACTGCATAATGTATCCTTTCTTCTTTTGAAGGGTCATAAGGCTCTGAGTACAAATACTCTGAATACTAATTCTGCAGTAAAGAAATACATATCACTTTGGCCATTATTTTGTCAAGAATCCTTTTTTCATCCCCAGAGGACACTTATTCATTGTATAAGAACTAATAATGTTCAATTAAACAGCCTGGAAAATGCTGCTCTAAGCCAACTTACAAATTGTAGTGGAATGAAAAGACTAAAGGTGACTCTATTCTTACCACCTTCCAGGAGGGTTAGTTTAACACACATAATGGCATTCACCTTTTTTATTTAATCCTACTGAAAATGTCATTAAATATCACCATAAATAGCAATCTCCTGCCTCCCAAATTATTGCCAACCAAGTATGCCTTGCTTCTTTAAATGCCCCTTTGTCATCTGATAATAAGCAAATTCTAAACTATTTACCTTCCCGTTACAATTAATTCTAAAGACAGTTAAAAAGGACAAAGATGTTCAACTGTGCAAATAGTTTGTACGTTTCTCTTAAATGAACAGATAGTACTCC